TTCTATGTGTCGTCGTCACCATTATTGTTATTTCTGCCGCCTTCCTTTCCCTTTGTTTTTGCTTTTCTTTCTTTCTTCCCTTTGCCAGCCAGGGCCCGCATGCACAGCCCAGCCTGGCGCGGGTCTCCCCGTCCTCTTCCTCAGCACCCCCAAAGCAGCTGCAAAGCTCATGTTCAAACACCTGGAGGGGAACCCTCTCCAGAACCCCAGTGTCTTCCCTGAATGGCTCACAGGCTGCCTCAGGCCAGGCCTGGGCGGCAGGAGGTCTGGAGGTGTTGCTTTTGCCTGTCTAGCTTCTTGTTAATTGGGGTAAAAAGTAATCCGGGCTGGCAGCCCTGAGCAACTTTTCGATATGGTTTTAGGTCATCTCCAATTCCATTATTATTCTTGAGTGTGGGTGACCGTCCTGGGCTTGAACTCGGGGCCTGGGCGCTATCCCTGACATGCTTACTCCAGGCCAGCACTCTACCACTTGAGCCACAGCTCCCTCCCTGCTTTTTGGTGGTTAATTAGAGATAAGTGGCTCAGGACTTTCCCACCTGGGTGGCCTTCAAGCCTTGATCCTCAGATCTCAGCCTCCTGAGTAGCTGGGATTACAGGCGTGAGCCACAGGGCCCCTGGCTATTCCTGCTTTTTTTTTTTTCCAACACTCAAGTCATATGCTAGAGGTGATGACAGTTACGTGACTCCATTTTGTGTCTGACTTAATTAAAAACTGGCTGAGCAAGGACCGAAGACAGAATGACTTACTGACTTATGAAGCACATAAATGTCACTGTTATGTTCATTGTGGGATTGTTAGTATAAATCATGGCTCTTCCCATTTGCAGCCACCTGCTCCTCACAGTATTCCTCACAAACATTTCACAAATTTCTCACAGTATTTAACGAATGCATTCTATTAAATATCACCTGTAAGCCGGGTGCTGGTGGCTCACACCTGTCATCCTAGCTACTCAGGAGGCTGAGATCTGAGGATCACAGTTCAAAGCCAGCCCGGGCAGGAAACTTTATGAGACTCTTATCTCCAATGAACCA